ACAAGGCCTTTCCTGCTTTACCTGCTGCCACACTGGTGAGGAAGCTGGGGGTGCTTGGGAGGTTGGGAGGAGGCACAGGTGGGACAGGTGACCAAAACTGACCAAAGGGATGTTCCAGACCACATGAAAGTATATAAAGTGGGGGGAAGAAGGAGAATGGGGGATGTTTGGAATGATGGCAAGTAGGCTTTACATGTGATGGAGCCCTGCTCTCCTGGGGGTGACTGAACACCTGCCTGCCCATGGGAAGCAGTGAATTAATTCTTTATTTTGCTTTACTTGTGTGCTTGTGTGCACACCATTTGCTTTCCTTATTAAACTGTCTTCATCTCAACCTATGAGTTTTCTCACTTTTACCTTTCTGATCCCGCTGGTGGGGGAGTGAGTGAGGGGTTGTGTGGGGCTTGGCTGCTGGTTGGAACAATTGAAACACCTGTAATGTCCTATAAAATTTCTGTGGTGACCTACCAAAGGCAAACTAAGTTTCCTTTCATGGATTTCTCTGAGCTACAATGAGCTGAATGCAAGCCCTTTACTTTAAGAAGACTTGGTTATATCAGGGTAGGGGCCAGCTGGCAGAAGGAAGACCTTGGTATGGTGTCACCCAAATCTGGGCACCCTCCTACACCCCACAGGGACTCAAGCACTACAAGGCAGAGGAGGGAGGCAGGGGAAACATTCTGTGCCTACACTCTCCTCATCACACAGACCACAAAGCCTTGTTGGTGAAAAGGCTTTAAAGCTGCCTTTCACAATCTCTTACTTTGATATGGGAACTCTTCAGAGGAACACATCCCTTTGAATGGTTTAGATTATGGCACTTCCAACACTCAGCCTTGAACATCACCTGTGCAGCAACTGACTCGTGTTTTGCCAAAGGAGCTTAGGAGGGAGCTCCTCATCATAGTAAGCTGCTTGTACTTCAGCAATGGCACTTTCTTAGTGGCACCAAGGCTGCCATCCACCTTTAGCAGCACCTGCTTTCCCAAGGAAAAGATGGTGGGGACGTGTGTCAACCAGCTGGTGCCACCTCCCAGCTCCTAGTTAGACAACTCTGTGGCCCTGGCGGCAGCAACTGAAAGCACCATGTGGGCCCTCAGTCTCGATGTCTCACGGTGGCTCCCTGACTCAGGAAGATACAATGCCAGGGGGGTGGTGGATGACTTCAGGCCAGCAGAATCTAATACCTTGTGATCCTATGATCTAGTGCAAAAGGCAGGAGGAGTGGGAAGCCCAGCAGGCACCTGATTGAAGAGGTTGGCGGAGGTAAAGAGGAGACAGTGTCCTGCTGTGCGTTTCCTCCACCTCCATAACCTTCTTATTTTCAAAGAGTTTCCATTGGGCTGTGGTAGCTATTGTTCTCCAGACCTGGTGCATCAGCATCCCCACTCCACTGGCAGCAGTTTGTGATTCACACACTGCTGGCCCTTCTCCTTCTTCATGTCAGTAAAACAAGCAGCTCGTTTGGCTTCAGGGGGAAGCAAAATGTGTGCAACTTGGACACCCCCATGCCAACCATGTACAGGGTGATCATGCTGCATCCTCTACAACCAGCACGGCCTCCATGGGCATATGATTATGATCAGACAGACCAGCATGTACACTGAATTCCAAAAAACATGTGCCTCTCCTTCCTTCCTTCCAAAACTGACCACAGGAGCCCAGTCAAACTTTGGCACAACTGTTACTGATGCGCAGAGCCAGTGATAAATGAGCAATTCTTAATGTTTAGTTTTCAAGGAGGCTGCAGATTCATCTTGGCCATTAAGACAAAAAGGAGGCTAATTCAAAACTACAGCAAAATTTAAGTAGTAATTCTGCACAAGCAGGCAGGTAACATCAGTGTAAAAGTCATTCTTTTTTTCTGCTTGGCTTTGTAAAAAGAGAAATACTGTCAGGGCTGTGCATTTTTTTGAAATCTGCATTTTTTTTTTCCTAAAAAGGGTTGAAATAGGTTTAAGCATTACTGTTATTATATCTAAAATGACAGAGATATTTCCATGTTGAATTTCCACTCACAGATATCCATATTCACCATGTGCACACCTTTGATTCCAGGACTGCAGGTCCCCTGCGGTCCAAGGACTCAAGGTTCATTTTGTGTAGCTCTTTCTGCCAAAATGGGGTTATTAGTATTAGGAAATAATGCAAGGTCACCCACAGCCTTGATAGGAAAAGGAGGGTAGGAGAATATTAGAGAGAAACTATAAGCTGTAACATCCAGCTGCAGTTGGCAAACCTGAATGCATTTGGAGTGCCTGCACCAGTATTTCACTCCCCTGTTTCAAATTGATTGCCCTGGCCTAGTGATTAACCACCTGAATACACCCAAGAAGGATATTCACAGAAGGATCTCATGATAAAAAGGCTATTCCTGGCCCTCTTTCCATCACATCATAATCTGTCCACTAATATGGCTTGAGATCTCAGCTGATCAAAAGGTCATAAGATGCTACTGCTAAGTATCACTCTGCCTCTGTTCAGCCAACGGCATTTTTACTCCATTCAGCAGTCAGAGGAATGCAACAGCAAAGCCTTCAAATCTGTTTGTATAATAGACGAAGTCTTCTCTATATGGCATTTATCATCCTTGAGGGAATGACACCTGATAAATAAATCTCTGGTTCCCAGTGAATTTAAATAAAACAAAGGCAAATCATATCACTGCACACTGTAAATAAGAAACCACAGAGAACATAAGGGTTCCCAATCTCTCACCATCTCCTTTGCTGCAAAAGCTGTAAAGTGCTGACCACCCTCAGACTCTGCTAAAATCAAGGGAGCCGAAATCTCTGAGTACATTGCAAAGAGCATGGTGATAACACAGGAGGGACTAAAAGGTACATTACTTATTTAGTAAATGATAAATGATAAATTTAGTAAATGGTAAAATTATTTTTTTAAATGTTATTAACCCCCCAAAAAAATAATAAAGGGGTTTATTAACCTATCAATAGGAATAACAGAGTGAAGGAGCGCGGGGGAGGGGACACCCAATAAATGGGGCAATGTGTTTCCCAAGGAGTAACACTAGGAGGGACAATTTTCAAACATCCTGGGATGAATAAATACTAAACCACATCCTACCCAACACCATCACTCTGTCCAGCTGGTCCCTGCTGTACTGCAGTGTGCCAGTGGCTACTGGTCCATATGACACCAGCCATGGCCTCCAGCACCAACTGTGGACACTTCTCTGGCCATCCTGCTTCCAAACCATTCAACCCCAGCAGAGATTGCTGCCCAAAATGGCAGGGAGAGAGGGAACCACTGCCAAGAACCACCTGCTACCTGAAGCCCTTGCCTAGCGGGTCTGCAGAGGTAGATCCTGTGGGCACTGCCATTGGAAAATGCGCTGCTTTGTGTCCCCAGCGCACCTGAAGTGTTGTCACAACCAAATTAAACCCCTCAGCATTTCCCAGACAATCCTCCCACTCCTTGGCTTTCCAGACCTCTATACCTGGACCAACAGACAGTTTCTTTAACTGCAACTGGCAGTCATTTTGCTCCTCTCCATGCTTTCAAAGCTGAGAGCCATCAAAGATTAGCAGGAAAAAATCATGACTATTTTTCCCTAAGAAGCAGTGCTAGTAATAGGCTTCAGGAAAAATCCTCCTAAATGCAAGTGATAAGCATAGACTGTGTGAAGGCTGACAGGTCTGATTATAATTATCACTGAGAGGGGACTAGCACTAACCTCCCTTCTGGAAGGCAATGACAATTCCTGGAAGGGAACATGCAAGTGAATTATCATAAACAAAATCATTGCGAGTAGAGTTGTCTTTCACTGGGAAACTAAATAAGATCCAGACTTGGAGATGAAAACAAAACAAAACAAAACAAAACAAAACAAAAAACAAAAACAAACAAACAAAAAAAAAAAACCACCAAAACAAAACAAACCTTTAACATTTGTTAAAATTTATCCCGATAGAAAATGGAACTTAATCATGCACTGAAGTGTTGCTGACTTCAGGATGATGGGACTAAAAGAACCAAGAGGGCCACATGAAGCATGGGGGGAGGAATGTATGCAAGAAGTGTTTGGAAACAAAGGAAATATTCTGAAACTATACCTAAAGAACATATCCTGCACCATAACATGAACAAGGAGTCCCAGGGAGGATGCTGGTCCAGACTGTTAAATATTCAAAACTAAGACAAAACTCAGGTAGCCTTGCACCAACCTTTTCCCCCTTTCTCATATCCTGGCAGGAAGAAACCCAGACAGACCCAATACAGAGCTCTTCAAATTGCTGCTATCCAGTGAATTCCTAAAATTGCATTTATACATTAACTGAAATACCACAACAACAGCTTTTAGCAGGGTTGTGAAGTAGAGAGGATAGGTAGTATTCCTTCAAGATCATCCTGCCCTGACCTCTGTGATTTCTCTGACAACACTACATTTTTCCTAGTCTGCAGGTTGTTTTTGCATTTCTCACTCCATTTCCATTGGAAACTTAGAAATGGAGGAGCTTGGGCAATCTGGAACAAAAGTAGCACAACAAGCAGTTTTTTCTGTCTGAACGCAGGGCAAGAGATATTGTCTTCTTAATGGTGGGCTGTAACTGCAGAGGAGATGAAGAGATGAGCCTCAGAGTCAAAGGCAGTTCTAAGAGTTTCATTCTCATTATATCTCAATGGAGTGGAGCAAATAAATTGTGCAAGGAGACATATGGAAACTTGCTTCGCAAATGGCCTATTTAAGGCTCTTACTTCCTAATTAGGTCCTGGTGTCAGGAGGTTGGTAACAATTATTCACACATAGATCATTTGGATACAATACAAACTGTTCTAAAATCCAAACCATCATAATGGCATGCATTAAAAAGAAACCTTATTCAGCTTGAGCCTTTTAAGGCTCCTCTGCTTAGGGCTTGGACTACCAGTTTCTGTGCTGTGCATACTTACATTTTGTGTCTAACACTGCAAAAATGCATTTGGAAGGAGAGAATGAATAAACAAAAAGCATCAGGGCCATAACCCCTTGTTCTTACCTTGTTCACGGATTTCGTCACTGGACTCTGCACAGGGAACCCACACTCTCTTCCCAGATTCTTCATCTGACTCTGTGGTGTTTCCCAAAGCAAAGAGAAAAGAGAAAACCTTGATTATTGGGATGACTGTGTAGAAAATGGTCACAAGCCCACAGAGTTTTGCTCTGCCCTTTCAGTTTCTTTACAGCTTTCAGTATGGCCACCACCATCTGCCAGCCCCCGGTGCTGGGGCTCACACTCAGCCCTGCAGAGTTTTGGAAGGTCCCCCAAGATTCCCCTTAACCCACACAGATGTGTAGGTTTCTCCTCCCAAGTACCCCCAAGTACTGGCACAATGAGTGTTGGTGTCAGGGAGAGATGCCATGGATGCCTCTGACAATCCCTGCTAGAAAGGCTTGGGGAGAGCAGGAGGGTGTCACAAGATGTCAAGCTGCCTGTTTTGTACAGGAGTTAAAGCAAGGAGCTGAAGGATTACCACATTGCAAAACCATTTAAAACAGGGTAAGTGCTTGTGATTCAACATCATGACTGCAACCAACCTGCTCTGTGCTTTGGTACTTCTGGTATGAAAATTAGGTCTTCACTCTGCTTCCGCCATTCCCACTTCTCTTTGTCCACCTCTCCAGCCCTTCACACAAAGGTGAAATATTTTACATTTTCACCTGTGGTGATGCAGATCAGAGAGTGGTTTTTTTTTGCTTTGCTTTGCACCGATTTTGCCAAAGGCATCCTTTCAAGCATCAGCCTGTGCAAAGATAATAGGTGACACAATTCTCTGTAACTAGAATCAGCAACAAATCAGCCATCTGCCACTCCAGGGGGCTGAGATTAACCCAGCTACTGGACCGTGACTGCAAAGCATTTGCACATTTAGATTACAGAAATATGAGGTTACCAGCCCAAAAAAAAAATAAGACTGGAGTGGGGAAGGTGTGGAAGATAGCCTTGGAAGAGCTCTGCAGATTAACCCTTCCAGACACAAGTCATCTCATAACAACTCCAAGCAAGCAGTATTTCTCATCATAAAGTGTTAAAGGGGCGAAGGATTTGAAGGAAACAACTTGATACACATGAGACATCATGTTTCCGGAGAATACATCCAATGACAACTCCTTTATACAGGGAGAAATAAAAACAAAAACATTCAAGTGCCTTGTCAGTGCCTTCTCTCCTTGGGAAGCATGACCAAGCTGCCCAAACGGCTTACTTGACCACTTGGAAAGTACAAGAGCAGCATTTTTGCCCCAAAGATCCCCTACTCTCAAGATACCTAGGGAATGAGAGAGGTCTGAATTCTGAAGTAACAAGGTTTAGGAAGGTCTCTTCATCTATTGCTCCCAGTTCACCTTCTTGAATAACAAACACCACGTTGCTACTCCATGCATATGAATGCTGTGAGTCCACACTTTTCCATTTCTTTGGGATCCTCTTTATGAACCTGATGGGAATTGTTACTTGATAAGTCAAGTATCAAGAGTTTTAAATCACTAATAAACACAAGCTGTCTCCACAACTAAAAGTACGAGCAATGGTCTGTACAGTTTCATGGTGGGTCAGGACGGACACCAGGGTCTCCTCTGGTCATTTTGATGTCGGTTTTAATTCCCACTACTGCCACTTGCTCTTGTAGGTTGGAATCCCATGGATTAACATCTTCAGGGATCTCAGGTTAAAAAGAGCAGGTTGTGCCCAGAGGAAGATGTGTAGCTGCAGATAAAAATACCAGCAAGCACAAGGAAAAATCTGGCATATCTCACCTATGAGGAGAGACTGAGAACAATGGAATTGTTCAGTCTGGAGAAGACAAGACTCCAGGGAGACCTTGAGTACCTGCCAGTACCTAAAGAGACTAGAGGAGAGCTGGGGAGGGACTTAGGACAAGAGCCTGGAGTGACAGGACAAGGGGGAATGGATTCACATTGCCAGAGGGCAGGGTTAGATGGGACACTGGGAAGAAATTCTTGGCTATGAGGGTGGTGAGGCCCTGGCACAAGCTGCCCAGAGAAACTGTGCCTGCCCTATCCCTGGAAGTGTTCAAGACCAGATTGGACAGGGCTTGGAGCAACCTGGGATAATGGAAGGTGTCTCTGCCCATGGCACGGGGGGCTGGGACAAGATGAACTTTAATGTTTGTTCCAACCCAAACCATTCTGTGATTCTATGAAATTCAGACAAGATCTGCATGGTGCATGCCCTTGGTGAGGACGGTGCCTTAAATACACAGCTCATCTCATGAAGTCCGAAGAGACTGAAAAGCAAACAGCATGCACATGTGTTTATAGAAACCCAAGCGTTTTATGTATGCCCTTTATTCAGAGAAAACAGGTAGGGTCAGGTAAGCACGGCACAGGGTTCAGCTGAGAGGTGAGCAAGGGATGAGTTGCTGCAGTCTTCCTACTCCATACAAAACCTGCTGGCATCACCTCAGAAATGAGTGCACCTCCCAGCAGTGTTAATCTGGGACTGAGCATTTGATCCTCTACAGAGTAAGGACTATTGATTTGTGAGGAGCTGCGAGAAGAGGGTGAGGAGAGCAGGCCTTTGAGTCTCCCTGAATTCCCCACTATTTATCACAGTATTTCCAAGAAGGCATTGCCTGGGCAGAGCTAGGTGCTCCCAAACCAGGTCTACGTGTTTGAGATCAAAGGTGAGGTTTGAAGTTGTTTGGATGTCTACTAGGGCATGGTTTTCAGGCGGGAGAGAGGTCAAAGGGATCATCCCATGCCTGGGACTACAAAATGGGCCAAGCTAGTAACTCAACAACCCACGGCCTCCTGAGATGCAGCAAGTTAATGAGGCTCTGCCTGTGCTTTAGAAAGGTCTCCTTGAACTTGACCTGCTGGCTGTGTGAGGGCTAAAACTGATGGAACAGGATGTGGACTTGTTTTCAAAACCAAAGGCTGGGATTTTCTTTTGCTCCAGTCTCTAGTTTCTGTAAAGACAAACTAAAACCCCAAATCCAAATTTCATAACGGTCAAAAAACGAACATCTGTGGGGTGGGGGAAAAAAATATTTGTACTTAACTTCAACCATTAAACTACTACAAGAATACTCGTGCTAGTAATAATTTTTAAAACACCGAAGAAAATAATAAAACTCCATTAAAAAAAGGTGGGATTTTTTTATTATCCCTTTTGCTTGTCTGTAAATGGAGGGACAAGGGGAACAACACAGGGCAAAACCTCTCCTTTCATACAAAAAAATCAGGACAAAACTCCATCCCATTTCTTGCCGGTTAACCAATCTTATGAATTGCTGCAGTTTCATCCCTACATGACGATTTTTGTTTGTTTTATCCAGACATGCTTTGCAGGAAGGGGCTTTTGCAACCCAAACAGCGCCACTGCATCAACCAGGCGCTGAGCTGAGCCGTGGAGCTGCTTGGAAGTTGCCTCGTCTCCCAGCAAATGAGAAGCGGAGGGAAACACGGACGCAGGCGACGCTGCACCTTGCAGCAGAGACTCGTGTGTCCTACAAGTAACCTTGCATCAAGATACAGAGCCACAACAGCAGCCTTATGGGTACAGTGAGAGGAGGAGGAGGAGGAGGACAGCGAGGAGGAGGGGAAGGGCAACAGGGAAACAATCAGAAAACTCCCTGGGAATCAAGTCTTCTCTTCCTCCTTAGCAAGAAAAAAACCCCAATAATATTAAGAATAAAAAAATAAAAACCCCTCCCTGACACAGAGATGGAAGGAGGGGATGAGCCCTTTTACACTCCATGTCCCCAGCTAAGGCTCCCTCCCTTTCCCAAAGCTCCTAAATACCACTGGGGGCTGCTGCAGGAGAAAAAGGGGTCACATTTAAAAGGCGAATGGGAAGCAGGGAGGAGGGAGGACACTCCTAAGCCCGGCCAGTGGCCCCACGGTCTCAGGCATTCTCATTCCTGACACGTCTCTCTCCTCTCCAGCGCAGCCCGGCTTCGAAATATTAGTGCGGCGCAGAGTGCCATTTTCGAGTCGCTGCAGCTCCTTCTTGGCACCGGTTCAGCTTTTTGTCTTGCCTTCTCCTCCGAGCGCCCGGCGGAGGGAGGGAAGGAGGGAGGGAAGGAGGGAGGGAAATGAAGCCCCGCTGGTTCGCTGCCGGGGCCGCCCGGCTCCCCGCGGCACCCCGAACCCTCCCGGCCCGCTTCCCGACCCAAAACATAAATCTCTTCCCACTTCCACAGCAGCCAGTTCACTGCCTTCCTCCTCCCCCCATTCCGCACCCCCTCCCCAACACTTCTCCCCGCCGCCACCCCTTTTCATCGCTCTCTCTCCCTTTGTACTCCTCTAAATTTTATTTTTTTTTTCCCCAGCCAAGCGTTGCAACCTTCCACCCTCCCTTTCTCCCTCCGTTCCCCATCCCTCCCCACCTCCTGCTCTCAGATCGATGGGGGGGAGGCAAAAAAGAAGAAGATCGTGCCGTGTTTGCCAATGCCCTGGCATCTCCCAGGGACGTGGGGAGCCCCTGGACCGGAAGGTCCGCTCCATCCCGGAGCTGCCCGGGCGCGGAGCTCAAGGGCGCACACGCCTGTGCACACACACACGGGTGGCGGGGCAGGACACACACTCTGCCTGTTTCCCTCGGCACTGCTGTAAATGCAAGCGTGCCTTTGGCAGCAGAGTCCCCCCCGCTCCTCCTGCCTGTGGGGCCGGGAGAAAAGCAGAGGCGGAATAACAAGGGAGGGACGCTGTATTTTTTTAAGCAACCCAAACATGGCACTGAGCGCTTCCACCAACAACTTCTCAGCCTGCTGTGCTGGCAACCAGCTGCTGGTTCCAGCCTGGCACCGGTTTTGATTTGTTTTTCTCTCCTCTTAAATGCCCTCCTCCCAAATATTTATCCCCTTATTTTATTTTTTTTTCTTCTCTATTTCCCTCTTCGTTTTTCTGTCAGACAAGGCTTGTACTTATTTTTGTCACCTTCTCACTGGTGACTAATGACAGGACCCAAGGTAACAGCATAGAAACTGTGTCAGGGAAAGCATAGACCTAATATTAGGAAAAGATTCCTCACCCAGAGGATGGTTGGGCCCTGGAACAGGGCTCCCCAGGAAAATGGTCACAGCCCCAAGCCTGCATTGTTCAAGG